TGAAATGCGCTAATAATAAAATGTATTTTTTTCCGTTGTTTCAATATCATCCCTTCATGAGTTATATGTTTTTTTCAAAAACAAAAAGAAGATTATCCCTTCAATATTCCAAACAATATATCAATAATGAATTTTATTGATCAATCATATACGTTATCTTAATAATATATATATGATTGATGAAGTGTTTTTATCCTAATCTCGACCAATAAAATTAATCAAAGTTATTCAAATATATAGTTAAAAACAATCTTTCTTTATTAGATTCTCACTGAGATTGTCGATCCATTACTTTGAACTAAGTTTCAAAATAGTTAATGTTGACTAAGTCAATGTTTAAGAAATTATATTTGTACCATGTGTATTTTTTTATTTTAGTTGTATCAAATAACAAGTTATACCAAATAATATCTAGTTGTACCTAGTAATACTACAGTTGTATCAAATCGAAAATGAGTACATCAGAAAATAGAGAAGTATGCCAAACAGAAGTAGAAACAGATTGGAGTATCTCAGACATTTATCCATTTCGAAAACACCAAATTATCCAATAGATCAAAAGGAATAGATAATCCAAATGAAAAAGGGTTGTCTAGTTACCAACGGATATAAGGTTTGTTAATAACAACATAGTTAAATATGTTTAGCAAAAAAAAAACAACATAATTAAATATTAGTTTCAAAAAAAACATAATTAAATATTGTAAAACGCTGTGCGCTAGTATACATTTCCTCCGTATTACTTTTAGCCATCGAAAAAATACTTCATTTTACGCGTGTTTTCAACTTTCGATACAAAGTTTATAAACTTTTTTAGTATGACCAATTAGAGCATCCTTATCCATCATCTTTGATGAGTATCATTAAATATAAAATTATTAAAACACACACTCTCTCTTCTTTTTACTCAACTTTTATTAATTTTATACTCTCTTTAAATATAAAATTATTAAAAACACACTTCAAAAGTATCAAAAGTATCCACTATTTGATACTCTCTCTCCAAAAATATCAACTATCTCATCTCTTTACTCAAATTTTAATAATTTTATATTCCATGATACTACAAAAGTATCATGGATAATGATGCTCTTATACTTTGCAGTTCATTTATTTATTGGTTTAATTGGTTTTAAGAGTTTCGAACAAAAAAATGGTTTTAGGTTGATAATAAATGATGTTTCAATCAAAAACTATAATAATAATTATTGTTTAATGTGTGTGACAATTAATGTATTATCCTATAATATATACTTTATTGACGTAGGATCATTAACATTCGTCTTTTTCTTCCTAGGAAAATTTTCAACAACGTTAACGTTACTCAACTAATTCTCATCACTACCCATTTTTATATAACCAAATTTTGCCATACGATTGCTGTTGTAAAGAAAGAAAACATGTTTGTACATTCAAATTTTTTTTTTTTTTGGTCACGAATACATTCAAATTAACTATGATATAACACTCACACATAAATGATCTATGCATGCAATGGACATGCAAGTGTATCCATACATACGTGGATGGTAGAAGAGATAATAGACATAAAATGATGATAAAAATGGTCATGCAAGGCATTCTAAAGAAATAATATTTTTGTTTCAAAATGGTCATGCAAGGCATTCTAAAAGAAAGAAATATGATTGGTTTTATATTAATATTATACTTTCTGCATATATTTAAAAAGTTTAACGTATTTTTTTTTTCGTTAAACAGAGTATAATATATTTTCAGATGTACATCGAATGTATACTAAATAAATACTCTATATTTCGATGCAGAATCAATTTCAACAATGCCTACAAGCAAATATTTTAGTTGATTACTAGCTAGTTTGCTTTAAAAATATTATCATTAATTCTAACTAGATGCTCTCTTTTTTTCTAGTATGCACAAAGTTTATTAAAAATTAGTAAATGATTCAAGCCACATATTTCCCTGAAGAACATGAGTTCTACCTAATTAAGTATCAAAGTGTCTTAGTTTCAAAAAAAAAAACATGAGTTCTACTTCTACATTTTTCTCTTCTCCTTTTTTGATAGTGAGGAATATGAGTCATACTTTCTTCCCCGTACATCCATTAACCGGATATATACTTACATATTTTTATTGAAAAAATGATATATATATACACACACACATTAGAGATCGAGAATTTGGTCATTCGAGCTGCGAAAGGCTGCAGATGCATGTATTGGAGGATTTAAAGAGAAGGGTGAAAAGTAAACGTGTTGTGAGGATATTGGTTTAGAGAGAAGGGCAATACGATTGTAACTGAGGATAAAGGACAGACATGCATGTACTTTAATTTCAGTAAAGCTTGTAATAAGGTCGGCCTTGTACCCACTTAGATTCTCCCAATGATCACAACAGTTTTTTCATACGAACATGCCAATTTATCTTCTCTCCTAGTATTATATTTATTTTTAAATTACCAAAATCGAATTCGGAGTAAAAAGCTCAAATCTCATCTTTGTATTCATAGTCTCATGATAAAAGGGTTTTTCCCGGTTTAAGGTTTCAAACCTAGAATCACTAATCCGATGTAGAATAGGTAGGTTCATTCAAAGGGACCAGCAATACACTTTAATCTTATGCAACACCAATTCAGCTAAGCAATCAAGTGGGTTTAAATTGTCACGATTAGTCAAGCAATTAAAGCGTTAAACAATAATATTTAAAGCGTTAGATCAAGGAAAAGTATCTCAGGGATTAGATCATCAGGATCCAACCAATTATTCATGATATCAATTAAGAACCAATCCACAACTCAACCATAAAAATAAGAGGATCCACTGTTGTGGCATCAACCACTTCATCAATCAATCTAACACCCTAAACTATCGTTTGAGATTACAAAGAATGATGAGCATTAAAATGTAGGATCGATTTGTTCACAAATTGCCTTAACTTCAACTGTCGTTGGCTAATGACGAA